GGTGCAGGGATTAAGAGAAGGTTGGAAGTAGGACTCGGCTGTAAAAGTGGGATTTCTTGCTGAGGGATCCTAACTTGGGCTTTTATACAGGGAGCATTGCAAGGAAGAGGGCACATAAGTGAAGTTCCCAGTCTTTTGTTTGCAGCTGTAGGAATGAGATGTAGACATCCATTCCTCTGAGATGGATGCAGACCTGTCCTCCAGTTTAAAGTCAATGTGCTGCAGTGGTACGTTTTACTGAATTGCGTGGCACTTAATTCCTTTGTCCTCAATGACTCACAGTTTAGGGAGAGAGACTGAGATGATGGGAGAAGGTAATTTAATTTAAAGCCATGCACTGCCGTCTTACTGATTTATAAGCCATAATGTGCTTTTATTAAAATCTGCAGCTGATACTTGATTTTGTAAAATGTGGAAGTGCTGGCCTTTGCTTTGAAGGTCAGAGGAAATTTAAGTCATTTCTGGTATCATTGATCAAGGAATTGTTTATACGTAGGCACCAAGTTTAGGTCTTTAGGGTTCTCCTGACCTGAAGGCGATTAAAGCATTATGCTGAATAAGCAATTAACTTGATGGCTTTATACATTTCACTGCTTTAATACATTATCTATTAAACTCAGACTGTCAAATTTATTTTGTGTGTATTTAAACTTGTAAAAATGCCTGCAGTCTATTATTAGCACTTGTTTAAAACTCAAAATATTTTTAGACTAAAAGTTTCAAGCTGAATGTTTTAAAAGCTGAGTTCTTGAGTTCATCCTTAGTCATTGAACTAAGCACAGCTTGGGTCTCAGAAGTCCCCAAAAGCTGCACTACATTTGGTAAAAGCTGTGAAATTATACAGGGGCCCTCTGGATCAAGCCAGGGATAGCAGAGGAAAGGGCTCATACAGAAAAGTTCGCAAAGGGGAAGAGGAGAGAAACTCCAGAAGGGAGTGAGTGAGGGAAAGCATCAAGGGGCAGGCACAGAAGTAGCCCCGATAGAGTGTCCTTAAGGGGAGAGCAAATCCTCCCCCTCGGATGAAAACCTGGCCTGTGCCACCCAAATCTGCTCGAGTTTGTGGTGAGCGTGTGCTCTTGGTAGCCCAAATGCAATTTGGAGAAGGCAGGGGCTGCCTGATGAGGCACCTTGTGATCTGTGTCCATATTTGTCCTGTCACCCACCTCATCCGAGCCTATGTCCAAGGAAAGCATGGAAAGTGGTTTATTAGGAGGGTCACACTCTGTCTTGCGGAGGGAATTGGAAGCAGTGCCCAGAAGGGGTTAGCTCAAGTGTCTGACAGTGCTCCGTGACTCCTTTTGGGGTTTTTAGGAGCTTTGATAATTAAAACTAAACAGAAATGTATTTGTAAATCCACAGAGGCTCAAAAGCTATTTATTTTTTTCTCTCCCACTAAGCCAGAAAACAAAAAGGGAGAAATTTATGGCCATACCCAGCTTTTACCACAGCATTTGAGAAATATGTATTTTCTTGAGAAAATCTCCCTTAGTTTAAGTTTTCAGGCCCAGAGCATCTCTTGAAACTCTTGAAGCACCTTATTGCTTTCCTAGGTGCTCTGAAAAGTGAGACTGCTCTTCTGGGACTCAGACTTTCTTTGCCTTTGCATGGACTTTGTATGTGCTAGATCCATGGGAGGGTGTGCTCTGTAATGCCTTGGAAAACACTCAGTTCATTGCAAAGCGCCTTTTCTTTCAGATCTAAACCATGTTGAGCAGCATTCCTTGCATGGAAAGATAAAAGGTCCAGGCTAAGGAATACAGCTTGCAAGGGATTTTTGCACTGCAGAAGGCTATTCTGGCAGAAGGATAATTTACTGGGACTGAAGTGTATAGATTTCCACAAAAGTCTTATTGGGAAAGTTTTGTATGTCCCCAGAGAAACCTGGTCAGAAGGAGAAAAGAAAAAAAAACAAAAACACTTTAAGAAATTGCTTGTGAGAACAGGGAGACTGCATGGGATAGCTGATGGCTCGTGGGAATTGCAGCTTGCAGGCTCTGATGTAAATCAGGTGCTGGAAAAACATGCAAGAGTTTGCAGTGTCATGTTGCAGGTGCGTGTGTGTTGTTCGTAACTACTGCTCACTGGACCCTGGTTGCCCACTTGTTCCCGTCGGTAATGTGGACGCCTTGGATATTTCACTTGCTTGATGTCCTCCAGAACTTCAGTTAAAGAGTCCTTGCTGTGTGTGCTATGATTTGCCAGAAATGTTTTCTTACTCTGCAGAAGCACATCTAATCTTATACAATTGTGCAGTACAGAACAGTTGAGGTAAAAAATGGTAGGTATTTATAAAGGCACCTTGCGGAACTTTTCTCCATCAAAATCCACTTAATTATGGCCATATAGCTGATACAAAAAGCCATAAAAGCAGTCTCCTTCATTTGAAAGATTTTTGAATGTTCTCCTCAAACCTGAGCATCATTGCAGCCTGTGAGCTCCCTACTAGGTATCAGAAGCACTTAAATCTGTCGCCTGCATCACTGGCAGGTGATTGAGACATGAGAGGTAGCAGATTTGGTAGATTGTGCAAGCAAGGAACTGGGTGAATTTCCAACCCAAAGTCATCATTCTCCAGATTGCATTTAGGCCAATATTTACCATTCTTACTATGTGCTTATATTGTAGAAAGCCTGTGATGTGCCTGTGAAGCAGAACCATCTTTTCTCTCAGAAGAGAAGTCCCACAGAAGTCCCACAGAATGGCTCTTCTGCGTTTGTAGGGTTGTGAGCAGAAGGGATTGAACATGTGGCAAAATTAATAACTGGGTAGCATTCATACTTTCATCCCTAATTAAAGCCAAGTGGGTATGTGAAATACATTTCCCCAGGGCTGTGGTAGGGGAATATCCACACATGTAATTAATCTAGCTGCTGGAAGTCACAATTTCAGCACTAAAATAAAGCAGAAAGAGACACCAGTGAACAATATGGGCACACTCCAACATTCATTGAAGTCACTGGGAAACTTGTCTTTTGACTTCAAAGGATGTTGGGCTGAACCTTGCAAGATCATATTAAAACACTTAGAAGTCATTAAGCACTTATTCTTGCCACACTGCAGTAACAGAGTTAGAAAAGCTATAGGTGGATTTTAATTTAATCAACTGCTTATACTTTTAATTGCTCAGTGTTTACACAGTTGGTTGCATACAATTGGATTAGGTGGCGATTTGCCTGATGATTGATTGTGTTTCACTGCTGCTTGATGGTATAAGCTTTTATAGCCTTGTTTGTGCATATGTGTAGTCTTCTCACACACTGATACAATTCTTCTTTAAGTTATTACACATGATTTTCTGTGAGAGCAGAATTAATAACTTCTGTGTGTTTCAGTATTGTTATTTTGTAAACTCAGCATGGCCCAACCCTTGCCCCTTGGGGTGGGATTGTTGGAGGGCCTGAAGTCATCCAGCTCCCTTCCCTGGGGAGGATTAGCATCCTTTTTAGGCGATGGGAATGGGATCACACAGCTGTCCGGCTTTTGTCTGCCACCACGGCTGCCCTCTTTGGAGCTGACTGGTATTTGTTCTCGAGAACATTGTGGTACCAACCACCCCAGGCACCACTGAATTTGAACTTTGGGTACAATAGGATGCCACTGGATATCGAGAATTGGCAGAGTTTGGTAACGGGATAACGAAATCAAGAGATGGCTGGAGTCGTGAGAGTAGAGGAGGATTAAGCTTAGTTGTTCACCAGTCTCACCTGATGATTTGTGAATTGGCCTTGGTTTCAGGAGAAGTCTGTATCTTGTCAAGGGATTAGCAGAGAGCACGTGTTTGTCCTGAGCCAGATTAGATGGTGTCATGAGAAGACCAGTTAGTGCATGTCCCCTCCACGTCTGGAAGGTGCCATTTAAATTGTGTTACATCTAAATTACTTGTTGTACTTCGGAGGCTGTGTTCAGAGAAGACAACTAAGCATAATTCAGGTTGCAAGTCAAAGCTAATGATTTGGCCCATTTGAAGATTTGTCATAGCTACTTAAGGTACTTATTTACCCTCTGCAGTTTCATCTGTGTTGAATTCACATGAAATGTTTTAAGAAGCTTCAATTTAAAGGCAGTGGTTGCCTATGGAAAGGTAGAGTGTTTGCCATGTCTTTTTTCTGCTTGGATTGGGTTTTGGAAGTCTAGACAGAGCAGAGCACAATCAGCATTTCATCTTTTCACAGAAAAGGGGCCTCAGGCTTTGTGGGTTGTGGCAAATGGTATGAGTTTTGTGGCTTGGGCTCAAAGAACAAGAAAAGGCAATCAATAATGGAGATTCACCCCATAAAACAAATAACGCGGCACAATTCAATGCATCTGGGAGCTCGTTTATAAGAAAGCCTAGAATGCAGCAATTAGAGAAACTGAAAACACTTGCTGTATTTCCTGGAAGCGTTGCTGCCCTGACTGTAGGGAGAGGTACAAATTCTGCTTTTGGATGCATGCTGGAAGATGTTTTTTCTTCTCTGTGTGTTTTTAGCCTTGCTTTATAGCTCCATCAGCACATTTAGCCGTTCATTGATTTCAGTGATGCTGAAAACAAAAAGGGCATGATGAAGTTTTTCTTATTTTATTTAATGGATTAATTAGCTAATTAGAGGTGCCCTCTAAGTCTAGGGTTTAGAAGCCTCCCAAGATAATGCCTCACTCTTTCCTTCAAATTTCTGCAGCACTAATGATAACCCTAACTTATTATATCTTTTAAGAAAGCATTTGGATTTATTGAGCAATATTAGGTTTTACAGCTGTAGCAAATGTGCCAACGACTGCCAATGAGTTGTGGAACCAGAAGAATGTCTAATTTTTGGCTGTTTCTTTTTAATCTTATGACTCACTTTAGTGTAACGTTCTTTTTCCTGCTTGACACCAAGGAAAACAGGAGGGAACGGGTAACCTGCTTCCTGTCTGCAGTGTTGCTGTAATATGGCTTCTTGATGGCTTTATGTATATAAAAATTGATTTAAATGTCCATGGGTGTCTTTTACACTTTATTTATTTTATTTTTTTTACAGAGAAGAGTCAAAGACGTGATATCTCCAATTGTGTTTGAAGCTGCGTACAGCCTTGGAGAACATGTGATAGAAAAAGGGAGGGAGGAGAAGGAACTGCCAGCCCTCAAGCCCGTTCTCCGCTGGAAGAAGGGAGAGAAGATAGCGCAAAGGAACCAGGTCAGCTTTGCACTGTATTAATCTGCACATCTGTCTTGACCTCACTGATATAGGTATTAAGAGTTCATGAGAAGAGGTGGTCATGTTGAGGGGAAAAAATGTTTGTGGTCATTTGAAGGAAAGACTAGTTTGAGCTCAGACTTTGGAGACGCAGATGCAGAAGGCACCTGCGGCCCTGGCACCTGCTGTCATGCTGTGCAACATCATCCATCTGTAAGGCTCAAAACTCCTTAGAGAAATCCATTTTCTTCACTCCATGGCTTGCCACGGTGCCTGCTCATCAGCATTGCAGCATAATTTAGCTTGTAGGGGACTTTCAGAGACCAATTCTGTGCTCAAGGCAAAGCAGGGCCAGCCTTGAATTAGATCAAGTTACTCATGGTCATATCCAGTCAAGTTTGCTTTGTAAAATGTGCTTGTAGAGTTATGATTTGGTATTGCTTGTGAATGTGAAACGTTTTTTCTTGCCTTCTCGCATTGCCTTTTTTTTTTTTTTTTTTTTTTCTTTCTCCCGTTCTCTTAAATCCTGAAAAGCTGTCCTGAAGCTTTTTAAAGTGGATTGTGAGATCTAGGTTTTAGCCTTGGGAAGTTTATTGTCAGCAATATAATAAGTGATGCTTTGATCACCTTCTATATTTCTTTCTGATGTCAATCATAAGGAACCATCACCACTTGTTCTGTGGAAGTCTGAAAGCTACTGTAAAAAAAATAGCTAAGAGAGATTGCTTAAAAATATCTCTTGTTTAAAGAGATTTGCCTCATCATGCACCCAGGTATTTTGCATTGTATTTGGCTATAATCCTTAAAGAAATGATTATTTATGAGAATATGCCTTGTTTTTGCAGATGAATGAATAATATTTGAATGCAGCAATTACCTTTTTTTAGAGGAATTTGTGTGGCCATTAATTATTTAAATGTTATATTGTTGGAGAAATTATGGTAATTCATATAATCACGTATTCATGTAGCAAATTTTGAAACTTGTTCAATGCAGTGTGAATCTGGGTGCTTTACCACCAGATTTAAGCTTAAAAAAAAAGTCCTATTTAACCCCGCAGGCATATTCTCAGGTCAATATTAAAATTCCTAAATGCTGAGATTATGAAAAGAAACAAAAATATGTTGGGAATATCCCTGCCTTATTTTCTTGTGTAATGTGGATGAGCAGGAGCCAGTGTAACAATCCCCTTCCATTTGCTTTCCAGATGTTGCTCACTTAGCTCTGTGAGAGAAGGGTTTTGACGTGGGGTGTGACTGGAAGCCTTTTTCAGCCAGGGAAGTGGGCAGAGTTTCAGATTTACTGTGGCAGTCATGATGATAAAGCCCCGTCGGCGCAGCCTCGAGGCGTAGTTCTCCAAGGCTTGTTTCCTGGGAAAATCATTACTTGGCGTCGTCTTTCAGGCTTCTTGTCATGTTGCAAGTAGAAAGTATTTTTAAAGACCAAGAGCCACAGAAGCAAAGTTTTATGGAATAAACTTTACATTTTCAAAGAACCTAGCTATTCTTTGATGATAGCTTGGCATCCAATTCAAGACGATTTTAGTGGGCTCTCTTTTCACAGATGAGTCCCGAGCACTCTCTGAACATCAGCTTGGGATAGCATTACAGTGGATACTCATTAAGAGTAGTGTAGATATCACATGTCCCTTGTGTCTCCATGACTGTTTATTGAAAGAGGCTGCTTGTGTTCCCAAGTGAACTATCAAAATATGAGAAATGATTGGAGCTTCTGATAGTTCTGAGTAAATGGCTCTTAGCTGAAATATCCTGTGAAAAATACACAGTTTAAGCGAGACTTTATTACGCACTTTTAACAGAGAAAAGGGGCTCTAATGCCTCAAAAGGAAGTAATAATATAATTAAACTGGCCTCAGAGATTCTTTGGCCCAGGTACAGTACCAATTGACCTCTCACTGACTTACTTATTTTCTTGGTTCTTGTATGTGCTTACCAGAAACTGTGGTTGCTATAGTTTGGTATAATTATTTGTGAGAACAAACACAGATACTTAAGGGTCATGGGTACAAGTCTGTGGAAACATATCTCTGCGACTTGTACGATGTTGGGTGGAGGCTGGCTCTGTGGAGAAGATGACAGCTTTCCATGTTGCACATGGCCAGCCAGCTCGCTCCTGCTCAGACAGAAAATCTCCAACGGGTCAAGATTGGGTGGGGAAACAAAGATTCTGCTTTTTTCTGTGTGTCACTATTATGAACTTTAAAACTTCCCACCCTGAAGATGACTTTCCATTAGCTTCCTTGTTGCCTCCCAAATCCAGTTGCTACCTCCGTTCTCTGGAAAAAAATAATAAATCTTCTTACTTCAGGGAAATTAATGTGTATTTAGAACTTTGTTTGGTTTAGCTCGTCATAAGAGTTTTGTACTATAACATTTATTTTTGTATACTCACTGTATAAATAAATGTCAACTATGAAAGAGAAAGATCTGCCAAATACAGTGGGGATTTGTTCTGGTAATATCCAGTAATATAACTTAGAGGTCAAAATGTAATATGCTAGAATTCGGTCTGTTTTAAATACCGTAATAAAATCACCTGCTGCTATGTGGATCGAGGCACCCTGTTGGTGTAGGAAAATATTCACAGTAGAGTAATTGCCTCAGCGTCCTCAGGAACAGTCTATCATAAAAGTGCTTTTAAGTTGCAAGAAGAGGCAGACGTTGAGGACGTGCTGTTCCCAACTGTACCAGTGATTCGCAGTGAGAGCTTGGGTGCAGTGCTGCTCCTCTGGGTGAGTGAAGCTAAGATTTTTCTAAGATAAAGTAAGCTCCACCTTTCTAAAGCAAAGGACATTTTTGGAAATAGTTGTGCTTGAAAAGTCGGTTAAGTATTTGCACATCAATATGTAAGCTTAGCTGACAGGTATGATAAAGTACAGGAGGATTTTTGTGAAGCTGAATTATGAAGACCTTTGGTATTTTTAGTTCTCTGCACAAATAATATTATTCTTTGTTTTAAAACATCTCTCCCTGCCCCATGACACACACGTCATACTAAGGATGAGGCAATGGCAGAAAAAGACTGAAATGTTGTGCTTCTACATACCATGTAGAAACACAGGTGGTCCAGGTTTGTTGGGTGCCTTCTCCAGGGCATAGAGCTCCCCATGTTGGGTCTCCTTGGGTAAGTTAATGGTGCCTGGGGACATGTCTAGATGCCAGAGTGACATACCCCATCCTGGGAAACCTCTGGGATGGTTCTTGGCATGGTTCTGGTTTGGTCTGAGTATTGCAAACTCCTCCCAGGCATGGATCAAGAGTTAGGAGGCTCAAAGGGTCTTTCCCATTTTGCACACTTCCACCCTGGCTTAGAGGCCAGTTTAATTGGCCAGAAGGCATGTGCCTTAGTGCCTTACTGTGCCTGTAAATAACCAGATAGGTGGAAGAAGCAAAGTTTAATTAAGTGTCTTATTCCCAGCCACCCAAGAAAGCTTGGGAAGAAAACAGGAATGAGTCTAATTACTATTGTTCCAGATGAAACTTCTTGCTGCTGGACTTTCCATCTTGGCGAGGCTTCCAAATTCTCTCCTATGTTTATTCATTCAGCACCACCCATCCTGCTTAATTGCAGCTTTTTTCCCTCTGTTTGTAGTGGGTTTGCTAGAAGAGATGAGATCCGCTCTTCCCTCTGCCATCCCTTTGGTGGTGTCCATCTTTGCTCTGGACACATTTGGTTAGAGGCAGTGTTGAACTGGCAGGGACTGGGTGCCCTTTGTGCCAGGAAATTCGAGAAGATCCCACCCTGAGCATGTCCTGGATTCGGCTGAGTCCTGCATTTGCCTCCTCTTTTCTTGAATGGAAATGAAGAGGAATGATTTATGACCCTGGAAGAGATCCAGAAGTGCACTAGGACGGCAGGTGTCCAGATGTGTTGTACCTCTGAAATGTTTAGAATTAGCAAATTTGTTTAAGTAAGAATTAGTGGCAAACAGTGCCTCTGATGCTGTATTTCTTTTGTGTGTGTGTGTGTGCAGGCTCATTCTTGAGCAGTGACAGGCTTGGCCAGTAAATGCCCATTTTTTTCATGAGGACTTGAAAGTTGAGGAAAAACAACATAACTGGTTATGCATAAGATATGTTTAATCCGTATGTTTATATCTGTGGGCTACCTGAAAAACAATAGCTGATATCACATGCTAATTAATGTGTGTGTGTACATGTATATGTGTATACCTATGCATATATGTGTATATGTATATGTGTATACCTATGCATATATGTAATTGTATGCGCCTTTATGTGAAGGGTATGCACATATGCCAGTGTAAGGCCAGACTAAAAGATCATCTTATATAAATGTGGCAGAAGTTGAATTCGATGATTTAAAGTAAACTAAATTTGCTCCTTGAAATAAGGAGGCTGAGAAAAGAGAGATGATCACATGCACATTACAGAATGAGCCCTACCTCCAAATGCTTTGGGATAATTTCTGCACCTCAGAATGACAGCCTGAATATCATTTTTAAGCTAATCTGTGGATTAGCTCGGGTAGAAAAAGCAGAAATGTACACGTGGAGTTATAAGAGAAAATTGGAAGAAATGTAAAAAGCAAATCAGTCAAGCAACTGGCTTAGGAGAGCAGACCTCATCAGTTTGTATTTTCACAGCAACTGTATGCAGTGGCCTTAAACTGGAATGTTTAACGTTTTGAGAACACACACCATGATAGTTCCCTGAAGTTCCTTCGTCTAAGAGCACTTCTGGGCCACAAAAGGCTTGTCAGTCCAGAGCAATGTTCATAAATACAAAACCACTTAAATACAGGTGGATTTCAGGAGGGGACTTGCATATAGTCTTCTGGTTCTGAGTGAACTAAAAGGAGCTATGAATTGCCTGCCCACTTTTTATGAAGCTTTTTCTGTGTTTCCAGGTGTCAAAACAGTTGCCACATTTATTTATCATTCATCATTGCTATTATGTTTTTGTATTTTAATTGCATATTTGGAGAATGAGTAATAAAAGATTTGACCCCTATGTTAA